GATGGGTTTGTAGCGTCCATCGTGACGTTGCATAAGGGCGGCACCTAGCCCAATTGATGAGGCATCTGTGGCGAGATAGAAAGTCTCATTAAAGTCGGGGAATGATAGAATAGGAGCTTCCGTGAGTCGTTGCTTGAGAATTTCAAATGCTTGTTGCTGTTCACCAGTCCAGGTGAACGGAGCATCTTTCCTGAGGAGGTGAGTCAGAGGCTCGGCAATGATTCCAAACTTTTCGATGAAGGGGTGGTAAAATCCTGAAAGTCCAAGAAAAGCCTTTACCTGAGTGACTGTAGAAGGCACCGGGAAATTCTGTACATCCCGCACCTTTTTGTCGTTGGGGCGTAGTCCGGATGAGTCGACGGTGTGGCCAAGGTACTCAGTCTGTTTACGGAAATTGACATTTCTTGACATTGATTGTCAGGTTCGCGTCGGCGAGGCGCTGGAAAACTAATTTCAACTTGCGTTCGTGGTCTGCAATGTTCTTTGAAGCGATAAGTAAATCGTCCAAGTACAAAAAGGCTGTGTCACCAATCAAGCCTTGCATAATGAGACATCAATCTTGAGAATGTGATGGGTGAGTTCCTAAGACCAAAGGGCATTCTTGTGAAAGCGAAATGTCCATGTGGAGTGGAAAAGGCAGTGAGGTCCTTTGAAGACGGGTCCATTTCAACTTGCAAAAATCCATGTGCTAAGTCTATAGATGAAAGGATAGCATGTCCCTCACCTACTTCTTGGAGAAGAGTGCGAATCGTCGGTATGGGGTAGCGGTCAGGAACGGTGGCTGCGTTCAGGCAGCGGTAGTCGATAACGGGTCGCAGAGATCCATCCTTTTTGGGTACGAGAAGCATAGGGGCTGACCATGGTGACTGAGAAGGTTCAATGATACCTTGAGCGAGCAATGCGTCGGTGGCTTCTTTGAAGGCGGCACGACAGCTGTGAGGGATACGGTAAGAAGGTATGTAAATAGGCTTTGTATCTGGAATGAGGTCGATGCGATGTCGAAGAACATCAGTGCGTCCCAAGGGGCGGTCCTTGGTTGGTAGTAAGGAGGGAAACTCCTTCAGTAGTCGTCGAAGAACATCTTCCGCAAAGTCCATAGGCGGGAATTCACACAGAGTCTCTTCAGGTCCGGGTGCGTCAGGGGCGCTCGTAGTAGCTGACGTGTTGCAGACAGGTGTGATAGGGGGCTCTACTTCAACGACCGGGAGGCCAGTGACCTCACAGTCGCATACTCTTGTTCCGCGATGCAGGCGAACGGGAGTGCAGGTTGCGTTGATCAGGCGCAATGCACTCGTTCCGTTAGTTACCTCGTATATCGCAGGGAGAGCACAGAGTCCCTTCACACGGATGCCGTCAGGAGTAATAAGCGCCGTCCCATCCGTAGATGTGACACGCACAGGAACCATCGAGTCTGTGAAAGGGGGAAGCGTGAGATTTGTGGTGACAATGCACGCAGACGCGTCGGTCTGGGGTGCCCAGGAGAAGGGGGAATCCGTTACCGTGGAAGTTTTGACGTTCGGAGTCGTCGTAGTCGTATGGCAGCGATCCTGAAGATCCTGCGCAGGGGTACTTATGGCGAAGGGCGAGCGTCGGGTTCGGTCGTCCTTCGGAGAGTCGTCCGGCGTCGGGTCAACTGTAGGGGGTTCTATCGTTGAAGTGACAGCTGCAATTGTACTTGCAGGGTTAGAGGAGGAGTGCCAAACAGAACCCGGCGCAGTGAGACGATAGACGTTACCTTGCTGAGTGACGGTATCTCTGTCAGGTTGTTGACGAATTTCAGCCTTGTGCATGAAATTATAGCCTAACAATAAATCACCTGGGAGATGGGCATCATCTACGACAACGAATGGAAATGCCTAGTTCTTACCGGAGAGTACAATGTTGAGTTTAACTTCTCCCATGACCTTAAGTGAAGTTCCGCTTGCTACTCGAACACACCAGTTTGAGGGACAAACCGGGGAGAGCACATTGAAATTCACGAGCGTTGAAAGGGGGACAAGGCTGACGGCGCTGCCGCTGTCAACGAAGAAGTATGCAGGTCGTCCTTCGAAGACTGCGGGGAGGAGTGGTGCGTCGCCCGCGATGAGGTCGTCTACTGTTCTGACAGTTGCGGTGAGCAAGGTTCCTGTAGTAGGGGAGTGGCTTCTAGTTAGACCTTGTCGGATTATTTTGCGATCGCAAACCGTCCTTAGTTTTCCTAGCAAGATGAGGGAATCCTTTACAAGCATGCCATGAATGTCCTTCAAAGTTATGGTAAGGACAGAAGGGTGTGTTGTTTCATTCCTTAGCATGATGACCTGACCGAACACAACGCCAACAGACACCATTCTGAGGTTCCCAAGTGAAGTCCCTTGTAGTCCTGCGGGGCTGGTAAGTCGTCTGCTGGGTGGCCGGCTGCCGGGCGTACGCAGGTAGGGGTTGACGCTGACGAGGGGGCTGCGGCTGACGCAGAGGCTGCTGCTGAAGCGGCTGTACTCCTGTGGCCATAACCGGGGCTGTG